CACTGGGAGACATGGGGGCACTGGGAGGAATCCATCTATACAGCAGAATCAAACTAAGTAGTTTTTTGGTGATTTTACAGCATTTTCTTATGTCACTCCTTGTGATTTACATCATGTGATGTCACCCATACATATTTAATTATGCAAATTAGTAAGGCCGGTATGTTTTTCCAAGAAAGGTGGCAACCCTAACTACTTTTCACATACTCTTACTTAAGTATGCAAACTTAAGAGAGATGTATGGGAACAAAACCTGTGTGGACTGGCTGACAATGAATATAGTTAAAGGGACACTATAGTCACAAGAACAACTACAGCTTATTGAATTTGTTCTGGTTAGTAGAATCATTACCGTCAGGCTTTTTGCTGTAAACACTGTATTTTCAGAGAAAATGCAGTGTTTACATTACAGCCTAGTGATAACTTCACTGGCCACTCCTCATATGGCTGTTAGAGATCCTTCCTGGGTCATGGCTGCCTAAAATGTATCCAAACATTCAGTATCTCCTCCTTCTGCATGCAGACACTGAACTTTTTTCATAGAGATTCATTGATTCAATTCATCTCTATGAGGGGATGCTGATTGGCCAGGGCTGTGTTTGAATCGTGCTGGCTCTGCTCCTGATCTGCCTTTTTGTCAGTCTTAGCCGATCCTATGGGGAAGCACTGTGATTGGATCCTTTAAGGTAATGCTGACTTTGGTCTCTCTAACACTGTGGCATGTTCCCTTTCTTCTACACTCACTACATACAGCTTTTCTCTGTCCCAGATTATATACCAGGAGCGTCTGCCTGCTAGTAAGGAGACAAGTGGACCAGCGAGTGCTAGGGGACAGTCCTTAGAAAGCGTTGAGCGAGCGCATCATTAGATGCATTTATGCCAAGCTCAGGGTGCTGTCTGCATGGTATGCAGGCAGGTTACGTGATTTGTGTCAGTGGCACACCCTTTTACCGTGCCCATTGACTTCCTGCTTGACTGGACACTGCTGTTAGGGGTTATGGATTTACTTGAAAGATAAAAACATAAATTAGAGAAAGATTAGCATAGGGTATGTGTTTTCTTACAGCTGCTGTTTTCTTTCTCTCCAGCACCATCTCCATCAGATACATGACGCTTGGGAGTGTTTTAGTGTTTTTGGTCGATATGATTCTGTAATTAGGCCCGTCATATTTGTCAGCACCAGGCCCACTGGGCTGTTAATCTGGCCCTGATGGCAGGTACATAATGTTAAAACGGTGCCTGTAGCCATGCCTGCAAAGCTTGGGAATCAAGTATATATTTAAACGACCACTCTAGGCACCCAGACCACTTCAGCTTAATGAAGTGGTCTGGGTGCCAGGTCCAGCTAGGGTTAACCCATTTTTTCATAAACATAGCAGTTTCAGATAAACTGCTATGTTTATCAATGGGTTAAGCCTTCCCCCATTCCCTCTAGTGGCTGTCTCATTGACAGCCACTAGAGGCGCTTGCGTTCTTCTCACTGTTATTTTCACAGTGAGAGCACGCAAGCGTCCATAGGAAAGCATTATGAATGCTTTCCTATGTGACCGGCTGAATGCGCGCGCAGCTCCTGCTGCGCGTGCGCATTCAGCCGACGGGGAGGAGAAGAGGAGGATCGGAGGAGGAGAGTTCTCCGCCCAGCGTTGGAAAAAGGTAAGTTTAACCCCTTTTCCCCTTTCCAGAGCCAGGCGGGAGGGGGACCCTGAGGGTGGGGGCACCCTCAGGGCACTATAGTGCCAGGAAAACGAGTAGGTTTTCCTGGCACTATAGTGGTCCTTTAAGCCAGGGGATGAAGGGTTATTAAAACTGGGTAAGGGAAGGGATATTTAAGCCAGGGGAATGGATGGTGGAAAAGTTGGGGAACCGAGAGGATAACCCTGGGGAACCATGTAGTGGTGATAAAGATAGGGAACAGAGTCAAAATGAATGCTGCATCAGGGGAAATAGAAGTCTGCCAACTCCACCGCCTGGTGCTTGCAGCCAGTTACAGACCTAAAAGACAGGATAGTACACAAGCCTCTTATATTTAGGGCGTGCATTTATACCACCCAAAACAAAGGCGTTGTGAACACCATGTTTCTGTCAGGCAGCCAATAATAATGATATTAAATGATATAGGGTTTCTGGTCCTATTTTCAAAAACACCTACAATACTGCATATGTTTTTTTTTGTAAATCTGTTTTTATTAAGCTTTTTCAATAGGCTAGTTAACAGTTGCATATATAGGTAAGACTCGCAGGTCTGAATTACGATATTAACATTATTGTGCTCTTTTGCAATGTACAGGTTGTTATTTGTTTACTAGGTGGGAGGGAGCCCCGTCCCATTTAATTTCACCTTGGCATCGGTGTCCGGGTATCTCCCTGTCCTCTATCCACCATCATCAGTCACCTGACTGGCCTCATGTGGCTTCGTATGCCTGGGTGGCGGAGTCTGTGTTACACAAGGTCCCCTTACCACTGGCCTCTGGACTGTTGTTTCTTAATATACAGGCTATAAGTATTATTTCCTTTTAATCTACTGGGGTGTATTTAGTGTCAGCGTGTGTTCTGAATGGATGGTTAATTGTTGTTCAGTATTGATGTGCGTGTCAATCAGATGACCCTTTTCTTGTGTACTGCGAGTTGTTGCAGTATGCAGGTTCCTGTTTAGGAGATCTGGCAGCCGCCCCGGGCGTGTAGCTTATGGTAGACGTTACCTCTCTATTCAAGGGTTATTGTGTTGCCCAGGATGTGTCCCAGCCCCCCCACTCCCTTATCCCCGGGCCCGAGGGTCTTGAAATGGGTTAAGTAGAGGGAAGAAAGGAAGGAGAGGTATTGTAGGAGAGTATAGCGAGGAGGTGCTCGATATGTTCTGTGTTAAGTGGGACCCGTCCCCACCGTTACCCCATCTCCAGGGCCGAAAGACCCCCCCTCTCTTGTGAATCGGGCCATGTATACAAACCAGGGCAACCACATCTCTGTGTGCCTGGTTCCCCTACCGTTTAGGGAGGCATAAAGCGCTTCCGCGCTCTATATGTCCTCCACCCTGCGGATCCACTCTTTTTTTGTGGGCACATCGCTTTAATTCTGCATTTGTTTACTGTACTTCTTGCAGCAACAGAGAACCCTTAATAAGGGGGGAAACTGCAGTACTAATCATTAAAGGGACGGAGACAACAAATATTTGTTCAAACATGAAAATTGAGTTAAAATGGCAAAAACAAACAAACAAACAAACAAAATATAAGTATATTGTTTAGTTTTTTGTTAATATGTAATTGTATATATATATATTTTTTATTGCAACAAGACTGGTGTTGCACTGCCCCACCTGCCCATATGGCCAATATTCCAGTGTACAGGTTGCATATGGAGGACCATACAATGCAAGCAGACAACACACAGCTCATATGTTTCTGAATACATACTGACCTGACAATAAACGGGAGCGCTCAACAAGAGATTTTGTATCCTAGCCAGGGAGCACACACAGATCATTTTGCTTAGTTATATACAATATGAGATAACAGTTTAAATATTCAGCATATCAACAATTGCTGATTTATGACAAATTATATGCAGATTGTAGACCTCCTGGGTACATTTGTCAAGATGGGAGAATAATTTGTTCTCATTTCTACTGTAGATAATCTGGGTTTTATTAACTAAGCAGAAGTTTATTTTTGCTTATTGCATCAAAGCAGTGACAGTAATGGAGTTGAATAATTTTTACAATTCGGTTATTTTGGCCTACATTTTGCAATTTGATTTTCAATTCACGTCAATTCAGTGTTAAGTGAATAAGCCTCATTTTTTTTCAGTTATTTGATTGTTATTTCATAAATCCAGCAACTCTTCCACATTCGTTCCATGAAATGCTAAAAATAGGGGGCCGGGCCGGGCCGGGCCGCCGAGCCGCCGAGCCGCATGGAAGCAGATTGATATGGCTCCAGGCTTAAAACAACCAAAATGGCACTTGAAATGGCCACAGGGGGCCCCAAGACCAGAATACCTGTTGCAATAATATGGAGGACAACCCCAGCTCCAAGATGATACCAGTTAGTGACCCGAATCCAGCTGAGAGCACCGAAAATGAATTCACGGCCTACCCACAGCAGCAAGACCAGACTCAGGTGACTGCTGGTCGGTTAGAACGCATGCTGACTACGCTGGGAAACGGACGACAAGCAGCAGACACTTACCCTGGTGGCAGGACCTCCTGGCTCGGGGTCCGGCCCCGCTCCCCCCCCCCGGCCGGTGGGGGAGATCCCGGCCACATGGAGGCGACACGCGCCGAGACGAGAGTTTCCATGCTGGGCCCAGGCTGCCCTCCTGGACTGGCAATGACTGCCAAAAAGGGGCCCCCGATAGCAAACGAGACCGAAGGGACATATATCACCGTCCTTTGGGGCACCACAGACCGTGAGTACGGGCCTGGGGTCAACGGACGCAGACGGATGTCCCAGACCACCCACAGGCCACGGATGTCCAATCGCTGGGTCTGGCGGGCGCCCGGAGAGAAATGTCCCCATGGCTGTGAGCCCTGCGGGGTGAGGATCCGCTTCCCTCTGGCAGACCGGTGGCGAGGGGCGGCGTGCCCTCCCCCGTGTCTGAGGCCGGCAGTGGGCGAGACGTTCAAGGACATCTGATTACCCTGCAATGCGCCAACGGTTCAGGGGAGGTGCAGGAGGTGCTGAGTCTGCAGACTCTTGGGGGGGGGATGCATGGACTCACATTGCCTCCGAGTGCCCACTGTGCTGAGGTGCCCGAGGGGGAAGCTGTGGGGGCCTGGGGATGACGTTTGGAGGCCTGGTATGGGTGATTGTACTCCACGGTGAGCCCACGGATATGTCAAGCAACCCTTAGGTCTCACAGTTTCATATAACTTTTGGATCGAAGATTGACTCCTGATGTGGACTTACCATACGTTAAATACGCTGTGGACACTCTCTATTATTATGTTAGTTTAAAACGCTCAACACTAGGCAACATCTACCTAAGATTGTTACTGCATTGTATGCCGAGTACTTAAGTGTTTATACCCCGGCATAAAACCAAATGTACTTGCCATGTTAAATTCCCTTACTTTCCTCCTTTTATTATTTTATCTCAGGGTGTCTTACTACGCCCGGCTGCGCGTGCACGGCACAAGGACCTTTTTGACCGCTGGGACATACTCCCACGGGTGTTTAAATGGGGACTTCACGCAGGCCCTTTTTCCCCTTTTTACGTCTTTCCTTCTTAGAAGGCGGGAACAATTTTGTTCTAGAACCGGACGTGACCTACACCATGCTTTGCACAGTCTTATATTACTACTGTTTAGCCAACTATGCTTAATTATGCTTTGAACCAGTATACAGGCAGCGAAGGACCGTACGGCCCAAATAAACACGGGACACCCGGGCCATCAATGACTATTATAGCCTACATAATGCTTTAATATTAAAACGCTGTTCATATTGGCTTAGGTTAAAAAGAAAATCAAAAAATACTTTTTGGGACGTTGGCCTAGGCTGGGTAGGCCTGATATGCTAGATAGGCTCTTCATGCAGAAATAGGCTTTCCGTATTTACGCCCAATTGTACTATCCTATTATCATAAGCCAATATCGCCTAGCAAACACGCTTAACCCATTTTATCTTATTATTTAGCACAAAACGCATTCATTAAGCTTACAGTTTTAAAAAGAACGCGCAACGTAAGCTATAGAGCTCCCCTGAGCTACAGCTCCATAAGGTGTACATACTTTTACCTATATTGCATATAGCAAGCATTTTTACACCATACGCTACAGACCAATAGCATCACTCTAATTGTCCAGGCGCACCCACAGGGGACAAAGCGCTATACCTGCAGGTTTTTTTTTCTAATACATATAGGTTTCACTGTGCCGACAGCATAATCACAGGCTTAGATAGACATAGCTTGATTACGCAGTACAGTAAAGTTTATATCCAATGTAGATTACTTTCTTACAAGTACGTATAGATTTTTGCTCTGTTACCTAGTTACCAGCAATTGAGGTGCACACTGAGGCGTAAGTCGACTATACATAACAATCAGGCATCAGCCCTGTTCAACCTACCCCACTTTTACTCTGGCGTGATAAAATGCCCGGAGATACGTGCACCGAATCAGACCCAAGGAAGCACGGAGACAAATATACTCCGCAGCTCACGCGAGGGCCTCCATGTAATCCCTCCACCCTATTCCTGACTCCACGGAGAGTCTGGACATTTATCTTTTCATTTAATTGTTAACTTTAATTTTAATATTGTTTTCATTTTAATATTGTATCACTAAACCTAGAGGCTGTGCTTGCTGAGGCCGATTTAGGCTGTTGGTGTTTGACAGACATTGCAAGGTTCGGAATTATATTGACATGTTTAAATAGGAGAATGTGTTGCTTTGTGCTACCATCGACCAGCCAACCTACCATGTTACCGTACAGCTACCTATTATTTACCTGCCTTTCACCGCTATGCCTGTTAAGTACGATGTTATACTACGATGTTATCTTGCTACATTATTTTTGACGCACATATATGCCTTTCTTATGTACACACTAATGAAGCTAATAAACCTTGAATGATAAAAAAAAAGAAATGCTAAAAATAATATCAAGTTTTCTGTTTTTAATTCTAAGTTTGGATTCTATTCTCTTTTAATCATTGATGTCAGTTTTTGTTTTTCAAATATGGAAAGATAAAGAGATATAAAATGAACCATACTTAGGGACATGGGTATCATCCTCCACAGGGCACCAGGCATATACTTGGCACGTCTTGATGGTAGCATTGAACGCCGTGCAGTTTCCAGTCATTACACCTGTAAAATGTACAGCATTTCACAAACATTTCAAAGAAGGATATGCATACGCTAACATTATTATTCAAAATATAATGTTAGCAGTACTTAGAATGGTTTATTAGGACAATAGAAACTTGATTGTTGTTGAGAAGATAAATACCTAATATTAGACTGAAAATATTATCTACAGGCGAATTTATATAGTTAAAAGATGGTTCACTCAGAATGGGGATTAATAATTCTAATGATTAGTTCCTACCACAGACAAGATCTAGCTTGTAACACATACATCTGGATTCCTTGCCCACTGTTAAAGTCCAAAAGAAAAGGAAACAAATCTGTTATAACAGGTTACATGAGATATCTAGACACATCTGAAGCAATCAACCCCCCCAAAAAAACTATAATAAAATAAAATAAAAAATAACTAGGCATAATTGCCCAATTTGTAAATTAGACAAGAATTATTTATAAAGAAAAAGAATTGAATGAAAAGAAATATAGGATGTTTTTTGACACAATATATAAGCAGAAAAAGATACATAAATAAAAGAGGAATACTGGAATTTTAAAGACGTACAAAGGTTTACAGATGCCTTGCAAGTGCCCTTTAGAGTTACAATATAGAAAACAATTAAAGAAGACACATGGATTAAATAAGAGTAACATTTTTTTCTGGAAATCCCAAATATGACACTTTTCCATATTTAAACTATTTGGCCAACAATTCTAATATCGATAAACTACAATTCCCATACCATAAAAAAATCAGGCAATGAAATAAAAATGATATTGTACATGCAATTCAACATCAGTGATCTTTCTGTTGAAAATTCAGCATGGTCCAATAGAGTGCTCAAAAGTTCTTCTTGCCCAGACACCACTGCAAGTAGAATTTCAGAAATGGAGACTTGAAATGAATCCCTATAAAATGCGCTATGGACCCTAACTTGGCCTGTGAGAACCTTGATTGCAGTTTATAACAGTTGGTGCAAGGCTACCTATGGCAATCAGACATAGGGCTACAAAAGGGAATTCAGAAACCACTTTTTTTCAAAATAAATGAGCAGCATGAACCTTAATACCTACTCTTCCTACTTTCCATTCTTCTGCCCACAACACAGTCATTATGACAGTATTTGATGGGAAATCTTTTTTTTTCGATGCTGGGGTGAACACAAACTTGAATACTCTTCAGTACTTTGAGATATGAAAAAAAAAGTTTGAAGTTCTTGAGAAAGTATAGAAACTTGACGTAGTAAGCACTTTAAAGGCTAGTAATATAGCTACTGACATGTAGAGCCCTGGTGGGCAACATTTATTTTAAGAAAATGAAATATTTTCTTCTAATCATAAGATGGATAAACAGAACATCATCACCAGTATGGTACCAACACATTGTGAAAGATTATTAACATCATACGAAAAGAGATGAAAATGCTGAAACACCGAAAATCTTTTAAATTAAGCAACTTGTGTTCCAGAAATCAATAGGGCTATATAGAAAATAAGATCTTTTACTAGTTTTTATAAACTGAAATGTTTACATCAGTTTCTATATACAAATTTCAGGTCTCTTCTTAATAATAAATACATTGAAACTGGTACCTGATATGGCAGTATATACTTCTTCCCGCACATTTGTTTCACAATTAGTTGTAGCTGCACTGACACAATGTTGTTCATTCACTTAAAGGAACACTATAGACACCCAGACCACCTCAGCTCATTGAAGTGTTTTGGGTGCGACTGGGCCCCCTCTGATGATGTCAGACGCTCGGAGGAAGTGACTGGCGCGGTCACTCCTCCCAGCAACCACCAGGAAGCAGAGGGAGTCAGAGTGGGAACTCTGACTCCCATCAACCTGAGCCACTGGACCCCAGGGAAGTGACCCTCCTGCACCTAAAAGGTAGGTAACAGGAGGGTGACTAAATTATTTTGCATGTGTGTGTGTTAATGTATGTTTGTGTGTGTCTCTGTGTATGTGTCTATTTATCTGTGTGCTAGGCTTCTATCCTTCCCCTTACCCCCCTGGACCGGTGGGGGTTATCCCAGTGCTCACTGGATTGCCTCATGATATCCCTGCTGTGCTGCACTTACCTTCAGTTCCCAGCAGAAGTCTTGCTGCAGCCCAACCACACTAGATGGTGGAGGCCCTTTTACATGCTTCGCAAGTGATAGACCGGTCTCATGGGCCTTACCAGGACTCCATCAAATCCAGGCTGGATGTTATGTTCCAGTTTTTCTGGGAAAAGATGCAGGATCGTACCACAGCCACCCTGATCATACAGTAGACGAAGGGGCCAGGGGCTCACAGATTGCGACGGAAGGGCCACCTTTGGGTGACGCACTCACCCAAGTGCCTCACCCCTCTACTGACCGCCTACCTAGGCCAAAAGCCACCAGAGGCTTGACATCTTGGCATCGACCACGCAGAAGGAAGATCATACACCGCTGATGGCAGATGCCACCTAGATCTCCCAATTGCCCCTCTGTGGACAGAGGATGTCGGCATTCACAAGGGCCTTGGGCTGCTTCCCTATTGTACCCTGGCTGCTCTTTTGGCCTTTCATGCATGCTCTTTAGGCCTACCACCTTGGGGAGTTAGTGGAAGTGACCATGGGCCCACAGTCTGACACATGAAATTCTGTGTGGAAGGTGGACACCATTTTTGATCGTGTCATCTTTAAAGAGCTTTCTGTTTTTCTATGTTTATATTTTGTGCACTATTATCTCACTTAGGTATAGTGCAGCACTACAAAGTTCCAGTGGTATAAATCCTGTTTTATAAGTTAGTTCAGCATGCTTAACTTAAACTATATCTAGCCTATCTCTTTAA